ATATTCCTACCTCCAGATGAGTTACATTCAAGGCTTAACAATCCCACATTCCTCACTCCTCTGATGAGTGACCACTGTCTTCTCATCACCACCCATCCTCCCAGCTGCTTCCTTGCATGGATATCTTTTATACGTGCAAATCTGATCCTATAGGCTCTGTTTGGCACCTTAGAAAGGGTCCCCATTATCTCTACAATCAAGTTCTTGTTCTTCTTGGGAAACAATATATATAAAAGCCTAAGCGACCATTTTGATGGAAGGACCAGAATGATTGATTGCTATGATGTGCACTGACCACCAGGGGGCTGACGCTCAATGCAGGAGCTGCCCCAGCCAGCAATCCTTGATTGCCAATGGAGCCTGTTGGCCAAACTCCCGGTTCCTCCCCACCACCCCGCTGGGAGGCTCCGATAGCCTGATTGGGGCCGGGCCCCGGGCTAGGACAGGGAACCAGGAGTGGGTGGTGTTGGATGTGGCCCCTTTCCCCCTTTCCCAGGGTGGGCCGAGGGCTAGCTCCCTGGGCCAGCTGCCAATCTCCCGGGTCCCTCTCCTGTTTCCTCTCCAGCCAGCAGGCCCGATTGGCCTGCCACTCACCCACAGAGGTGGCAGCTGGCCCTTCCCCCTGGGCAGGCCCCAGGCTGGGATGGTGAACCAGGGCTGGGTGGCAGTGGATGTGGGCTGTGAGGGAAGGAGGCAGGGGGAGGTGGAGAACCTGATTGACCCTTATTGCCGGCTAGGTTGAGGGACCCAACCCATGCACAAATTTTGTGCATCTGGCCTCTAGTGTAATATATGAAACATGCTTTAGACCTAGAGATGTCCATCACAGTGTTATTCATAAAGAATGGTATAAAATAGGGTAATGGTCAAGTTAATTATGGAATATCCACCACACAGAATACATTCATGTGATAAACATAAAAATGACATAGCAACTTTGTACCTACTTTAAATTTAAGCAACAGGAATACAAGGGAGGCAAATTGTTGTATTTTATTGAAATTGTTAAATATGTGGGGAGATGCAATGAAAAAACATGCAAAACACCACTGGTTATGGGGTTTTGAGTTACACAAATGTGTTATTTTTTTGATTAAGAAAAAACGTGTAGGTTTATGTTGTTTTTATATTGAAAAAGAAATATTTTTATTTAATGTTACTCAGAGATTTTGAAGTAAATAAAGGAGGACTTTTATTCACTGAAACCTTAAACTGAAAAGAAATGCTGAAAAGCCCACATTGGAGCAACAAAACTTCCAAAACACCTGAAAAAGTTCCCTAGCCTTTCTGTCCAAAGCTAATGCTTCATGGCACCTGTCACTGTATGAAGGACAGCCTTGGGGTGGGAGTGGGAGTTAAGAGTGCAGGCTCTAGGCAGGGATGGGCAAACTTTTTGACTCGAGGGCCACAATGGGTTCTTAAACTGGACCGAAGGGCCGGAACAAAAGCATGGATGGAGTGTTTGTGTGAACTAATATAAATTCAAAGTAAACATCATTACATAAAAGGGTACGGTCTTTTATTTCAATAGTTTTATTCATTTCAAACGGGCCGGATCCGGCCCGCGGGCCGTAGTTTGCCCACGGCTGCTAGAGCAACACTGCCTGTGCTTGCTTCTCTGTGTCTCAGTTTCCTTCTTTATACAATGCACATTCTAATAGGACCCATGTCATAGAGCTGTTATGAAGATTAAATCAGTTAATTTAGGGAAAGTCCATAGAATAGAGTTTGACAAGGAGTAAGGCTCAACAAACATTGATTTTAACAACAATAACAACAACAATAATAACATGGGCTATGCCTATGTGGATTCTTTGTGGGTCCCTTGAGGGTATCTTTCTCTATAGTTACCCCCTTAGTTCCTTATACATGGAAGGTCTTTAAGCAATATTGTTGCTAAGTCATTGAGCTAAAAAAAAGAATGCAAGTTCTCTAAAACAAAATGAGCACCTGGGACCCTTCCCCAGAAGGGCTGGCACCAAAGCTGAATCTGTGGGACTTTGAGGCCTCTGACAACCCAGGAGCAGGGCAGGGTCAGAATTCCAGTTCTGCAACCTTCACAGACTGCACAGCACCCTGCTGCTCTTGGATTCTGACCTCTCAGCCTTGCCCCGTCCTGGTTGGGAAACCAGGAGCTTTAGATGTGACCCTGACTCCTGCTGCCTAAGAACAAAGGGCAATTATGGCTCTTTTGTGAGAGGCAGTTTAAGCGGAAGCCAAGGGCTGGTTCACCAAAGGCTGACCTGATCACTGGATCAATTTCTGAAATAAATACCCTGCCCATACCCAACTTCCCTTTTGATAACAACTCAATCTTTGCTGGGAGGTCTTTCTGACACATTTCTTCAGGAATTATGATGATCTTTAGGGTCATTTTGGAACATCTTGTCCCCACTCCCAGGTCTATGGTCTCCAACATAATAAACTTCACGCTCGGAGAAAATGGGCTCTGTGAACCCAACTTCAAAGCTTGGCCATGTGGATGTAACAATGGACTTGAACCAGACCTAAGGAGGGCTGCCCAGCAGGCACTCCTTAACTTGGCAACTATTGTGCTCCAAGTCATTTCTGTGTCCACAGTTGAACAATGCATTTGGCAACCCAACGAGGTCTTCTTTCAAAGCAAAGTCACTCTTGCCAGCAGTGCCAAGTAGAGGGCCCTGGGTACAAAACACTCCATTTATTTTTTTCAAAATCAAAGTATCACACTAAGTGAAAATAATAAAAATATTTTTGTCTTTAAAAAAATGTCATATAACCACACCAAAGGTAACATTTGCATAAACGCGAGTCTTCCTATAATCCTAGCCCCATTATCAAAAAATCAGCATCTTAAGTACCTCTACTTCTGGTCTTTCTGTTTTCCTTTTTAACATAGTTGTAATAAGTATAAAAAAAAATGTGCCTCTCTGTTGCTTGTTTTACTTAGCATTATAATAGGCATGAAGTTGCTGCATCATCTTTTTACCTAATGTTTTAATGGCTGTAGAGCCTTCTCTAAGAGTAATATGCCATAAAAAATGCAATCTGTTTTGGAGGAATGTTGTGTTATTATAAATAAGATTGTGGTGAGATTTTTAAAATTTGTTTTGCATTTTAATAAAACTGCCACTTTTTGCCAAAACCGGTTTGGCTCAGTGGATAAAGCGTCGGCCTGCGGACTGAAAGGTCCCAGGTTCGATTCCGGTCAAGGGCATGTACCTGGGTTGTGGGCACATCCCCAGTGGGAGGTGTGCAGGAGGCAGCTGATCGATGTTTCTCTCTCATCGATGTTTCTGACTCTCTATCTCTCTCCCTTCCTCTCTGTGAAAAATCAATAAAATATATCTTTAAAAAAAAAAAAAAAAAACCTGCCACTTTTTTCTCTCCCCTAAAATGAAGACTCTAAATTCACTGCAGTATAAGAATGTGGTTTTGGACTAAGGCAATTAAAAAATCTTCCAATAATTTATTATGAAATATTTCAAACCTACAGAAAAGTTGAAAGAATTTAATATGCTGATTCAGGGTGACTTTTGAGCACAAATACATGTCTTTGAAGATGCTGAACAGTAATTGTGCATATATGTTGGATTGTCTCCATTTAAAGAAGAATCCAGGAAGAATCTGGGTAGTTCTGGAGGCAAAGGTTTCACTCTGGAAAAGGAACTTCCAACACCATTCTCTTCAAGAGTGCTGAGGACTAGCAAAGACAAAAGTCCTTGCACACAATTCAAATGTGGATTTCCCCCATTAATGGTAGCTCCTTCAGAACAGCTCAGTGCCCCAGAGTTCAATTCCTCACTTTGGGGATGTAAGCAATGCTCAAGAATGCAACCAGAGCTCTAACCGGTTTGACTTAATGGATAGAGCGTTGGCCTGCGGATTCAAGGGTCCCAGGTTCGATTCCAGTCAAGGGCATGTACCTTGGTTGCGGGCACATCCCCAGTAGGGAGTGTGCAGGAGGCAGCTGATGGATGTTTCTCTCTCATCGATGTTTCTAACTCTCTATCCCTCTCCCTTCCTCTCTGTAAAAAATCAATAAAATATATATTAAAAAAAAAAGAATGCAATCAGAGGTGCAATCTCTGCCCTCACTCTGACATGGTATCTGGGGTCTGAAGCAGGAGGAACTGTCGCTGAATCTCACAGGCTGCACTTCCCCAACTTCCTTTTCTTTATTCCTCCATAAAAGCAAGTCAACTGTCTCTATTTCTGCTAATAACACCTTTAGCAGGCACCGAGCACACTGCCGACACAAGCGTCGTCGTTTCACTCTATGGATGCAGAAACAGCCTGGGAAAGATTAAATGGTGTGATCATAGAAGAAATCAACTCATCTTGGAAGCTATCTAGCCAGGGCTAGAACTCGCTCCTCTTGACTCCGAAGTCCTGTTTTTTGTTGATTTGTTTTTCAGCCTGGCCATGGTTTCCACTCTGCACATATAAGAAGCTGTGCTTATGTAATTTGGCACTCCTCCAGCCTTGTGTCATTTTGGACTCTGGGGCCACTCTCATTTTGTGTAAACAGAGGTGTCCTGGTCACAGCAAACCGTTGTTAGTGTGGAAACACATACCAGAAGACAGAACCAGAAGTCCGGAGAGCTCATAGGGATGGCTGCCCTCAGGACATGAGGAAAAATGCCCTCTGCCCTGTGCATATTCCACGATAGCCAACTGTAGGGTTTTCTTCTTCTTTTTCAGCCTCTAGAAAAGCAGGTATTCAATATGAAGAATAAAGAGTGAGTGTTGGCCGAAACCGGTTTGGCTCAGTGGATAGAGCGTCGGCCTGCGGACTGAAGGGTCCCGGGTTCGATTCCGGTCAAGGGCATGTACCTGGGTTGCGGGCACATCCCCAGTGGGAGATGTGCAGGAGGCAGCTGATCGATGTTTCTCTCTCATCGATGTTTCTAACTCTCTATCTCTCTTCCTTCCTCTCTGTAAAAAATCAATAAAATATATTAAAAAAAAAAAAAAAAGAGTGAGTGTTGGAAAACTGTTGGGAAGACCTTTTCTAATGGGGCCATCTGCTTGCCCTTTGGAAAAAATCAATGAATTTGATTTTTAGACAGTCAGTTCCTTAAGCCTGAAAATATTCATTGGAATACCATAGGTGAACAAAGTCCACCCTTTCAGCTCTCATTGATTTCTCTTAGTTTGGTCAGATGCTGTCAGGTCTGGGGAAGTTTGGTGGTGAAAATCGCACCCGGCAAGGAGCTTGCATGAACCAGCAGTGCCTCCATTGCAAATAGGACAGTGTTCTAAGCAGAGGACATTTTTTAAGACAACATGAATCTTCTCAGAAACAAATACAATTTCTGTAACAAAACCCATTGGAGCAGTAAAAATACAGTGGAAATGCCTTCATAATTTGGAACTTTATAACTTGTAAGTTAATATTTTGTCCCAAGATTAATGATAAAAAGCTACCCATAAATGATTGGTTATGAAATTCATTGCCAAATTGGCCTCCTTTTGGGGCTGGTGGGTGGTGAAGTACAATCGATTCTGATGAATTAGAGAGAAGTGAACCTGGGATGATGAAGTTGAGGAAGGATTCTGTTGAAGGCCATATCTTGGAGGCCCACAAATTTCAGCATCTCCCAAGAGAGTGGTGTGCAATTTCACTTTTTATGGGGAAGAGTTCAGGTCCCCTAAGTACCAGTCTATCTCTCTTCACATTGTGACTTGTTAACCTCTTCCTTCAGCTAGTTGCTTCGACTTTATTTCATCCCATCATTATTCCTGTAGCCCAGACTTGCCAATGAGATATCAACATTATTTTGATGAGAATTTTATTTCATCATGAATATTATAGGCAAATTATATAATAGCTTTCTGTTTACCAAGAAATCTCTGGCAGAGGGAAATAAAACCAGATAATCTAGGGAAGGGGGAAGGGCACTAACTATTATTGCACCCCTCCTGAATCCAGATGCTTTACGTAGATTATCTCCGATAAATTCATCCTAAGGCAATAGTTCTGCGAGAATTGACAAAGAAAGGGAGACTTATGGAGGTTTAGAAGGTTATCTAAGATCTCAAGATCAGAGTGGAAAAGCAGGCAGACACAGGGCCAAAGTCTAGAATCTTTCCATGGACAAAGCACCAGCTATAAATGCAGAATACCTGTAACCCTTAGATTAACTTCTGAGGTCTGCAGACCAGCAAGGGAAAGTGTGATAGCATCCACCTGGTAGTGTCTTGGAGTTGGGAAGAGCCCATGAGAGATCTTGGAAGCCTTGAATAAACGAGATTCCCAATAACTCAAGGGCAGTTTTCCTTCACCAGAATGCGGCTTCCCCTTGCTCAGTCAGCAAGGACGATATGACAGTGAGTACAGCAGGAGCCTTGCCTTCTGTTCAGGGCTGCAGCACTTTGAATAATCCAAGCCCACACCTAGCTATCAAGGTATGTAGGGCTTACTTGTTACCTTCAGCCTGTACCAGGGAATGGCCAGATGGCATCCAGGCTGATTCTGTGCCTCTGGCTGACTAATCTGCCCAGGTACAAGAGTAAACAGAGAGCTGGGGGACACCATATGTCCCTGACTCATCGTGCTTGCCAGAATCACCATAATTCTACATGGCATATGCTTTCCTGGGCCAAGGTAGGGGATGGTTCAGAGGAAAGGTATCTTGAAATCAAAGGCTGAATGATTAAAAACATAAAGACATATAGGGAGTGTGCATCTGTTAGTTATATCCTAACTGATGTTTATTTTTAAAATGTGCTTTGTTTTACATTGTTCAACTTTGCTCCTGCCTTCCAGCACTTGCCATTGCAGGCCCCCCAGGGACATGGGTTGAATAGAAGTGTTGAATTCCTATTCTTTGATTACCAGTCTGGAATTTCACCTTAAATTGAAAATGAATTTGACTGTAGTTTAAAGAATCTCCCGTTGAGATTGGGATATGGTATCCCCATAGGGTGCCAGGTTCTTTGAACCCCTTCAGAGCCTCCCACCACTCTTGTTCCTCTTACCCGCAGCAGAACCTAGAGAAGAAGGTTGTAGATAAGAGTTGTGAGTCAGCTGCTCAGGGGCTGAGAAACATGCAATGCTCCTGAGGATGGTCACTTAGCACTCATTACGAAGATAATGGCTCATGAAGCTTCTTCTATCACCTCAGTTCCTTAATTAACCAGAGTAATGGGACTATGAGTTAGTCAAGACCAGAGTTTTAAGTGCAGGTTATGGAAGCATTGAGCTGTAGGAGTCAGATATGTCCAATTTAATTTTTTTCCACATAAAAGGGAATGAAATAATCTATCTAGGGTCTATCATCATGAGAGGTCCAAGAGGATCTAGAACTCAAGGATTCTCTGGTCTAGTGCTTTTCTTGAAAGGTAGAATCCAGTGGGGGCTCTAGTGTTTGAATCATGTGCTGTGGACCGCCAGAGGTGGATGTCTGTCTCACATACTGTAGACCTTCAAGCCATCGCCTATGTACTGTAATCAGAGCCATAGGAAGCTTAATAATTACCCACAGTTGGAATAACAGTGAAAGCCATTCTAGACCAAATCTTTAGTACTATCAAGAGCTATTCAGCACTCATGACAGTTTCGTACTTCCCTATCACATCTGATCCTGAAAAAATTGTGAGGTGGGTCTAATTGCCACTGAGGAAGTTGAGACTTTGGAAGGACAAACAGGCCATTTAAGAGCCCACTGTTAACTGGACACAGATCAAATTTGAACTTGAAGATAGTTCCAAGGCTCTACTCATTGTCTTTAGAAGATAGCTCTTAGACATATGGAATTGTATGAATATAGACTGGGAATTTAATGTGTATTCTTAAATACTTTGAAAGCTCCTGCTCCAGGGCAGCAGCTCACAGATAAGGTTGGACAGAGAAGGCCAACAGGAAGATATACGGGCAAGTTTACCTCCACTAGTTACTCCATTTAAGCCTTTTTTTTTTAGGACATAGGCTTTTCCCAAATTTCTTTGTGTGTGTGTGTGTATTTTTCCTATAATCAAGTCTGTAGCTTTTTTTTTTAAAGCCAAATTCCAACCTAACTTTAGGAATGCTCATAACTCTGCTCCATGATAGAGATTATTGTTTACTACTCTTTAGAAAACTGGACTCAGTCAATGGAACACCTACTTCTTAAATAGAATAAAGTTGCCTTTAAGAAATAAAATCTTCCCAGGGTGGGAATGGCTGGGGGTAAACAGGGGGAGGGGGGTGGTCATCAATTGGGGGAAAAGGAGACATATGTAAAACTTCAGACAAAAAAAGAAAAGAAAAGAAACAAAACCTTAGAAAAATATCCCTTAGGAATAAAATTCCATGGGTTTTCTTCCAATAGAGTGACATTTTATCAAGGGAGGAGTTGGTGCACAAATTCAATCCAGCATCACCAGCGTAGTTGGTACTAAGGAGAGGTTCACATTAATAACTTACAAGTGGAGGTGTCTTCACTGCAAAAGAGAGATATCTGGAAAAGAAACCAGTTTGAAAAGGCTTCTGCTAATATTAACCAACTGTGTTGGAGTCCCCAAAGCACAGTCTCCTGCTTGACTTCTCCTTGGAACTTCCCATTTGTAGTCTCTGTGGCTACAGTGGCATTTCCACATGTACATCTCCCTCAAGGGGCACCTTTTAGCTGATGTTTTCAGAGCCTCCAACTATCCTCTGGGCATTTGCCTTTTCATTCACACCCACAATGTACCAGACTTCTTCCTTGGGTCACCTTCCTTTTTGCCTGAGGGCTTCCTTCAGAGGAAATCAGGAATCAATGACACCCTGAGAATCTGTGAATAAATACCCAGCTCCCTAGCCTGTGCAAGTCAGCATTTGTGCCTTTTCTTTTCTGTCTTGCTTCCCTACTTCTCTCCATTGTTTACAAGGTCACCTTCCAAAACGAATCCTTTCAGTCAGCATTTGGGGAATCCAAATTAAGCAAACTCGGCATACTTGAATCATTTTCTGTCCCTTCTGCTTTGTCCATCTCAGTTTATGAAAACACCCAACAGCCCCCCAATCAGAAACCAGGGGAGTAGTCATTATTCTCTTTCCCCCACATTCAAAACTCCAACTTTCAATCGGTCACTGATTCCTACGAATTAAACCCCACATCTTTCCAATCAGTCCTTTCTTAACTTCCAATTCTTTCTAGTTGAAACCCTCAATAACACTATGGGCAATTTTAACAGCTTTTTAACTCCCCTATATATTTAAAATGTACCCTCTCTCCCGTCAATTTTACATAGAGTACAGTACTTATTCATTGGAAACACACATTTGACCATGTAGTTTCCTGTAGAAACTTCTGATTTCTCACCACTACCTAGAGAAGACCCAGGCTCTGCACATATTCTCATGATCAGGCCCCTACTCTGATAGTCTCTTCTCATGTTGGGCCTCTTCTGGCAGGCCACTCACCATCCAGTCTACTTGCAAGTCCCCAAATAAACCCACCTTCTTTGTCAACACTGGGCTTTGCACATGCTATTTCTTGACTATAGTATACCTTTTTAATACTTTGGGTCTGATGAGTTTGTATACATGTCCAAATAACCTAATTGGAACCTGGCAGACAAGATAGCATGATCATTCTTTTCCCTTTCACACAGATGCTCTCATACGGAGTGCTGTGTATTTTCACATGCATGTGTCTTTCATGCCACTTTGCTGAGGGTCCCTTCAGCGCAGAGAGCTTTTGGATTTCTGTATTTCTTGCATATGCTGCCTAATACAAGAAGTGGGTGCTCAATAGTTGCATACCTCTGTTAGCATAGGTAGCTAAATATTAATAAAGGAAGAGAGCAAAGGGAATCAAACGTTATTTAGCATAATCAACTAGGGAGCATAGTCTTGCTTCATTAGGAAGTTACAGGTTCATACATTTCCCAGGGCATCCTCTGCCCCCGGACCTATTTCCCCCCAAGCGAAGCAAGCAGGAAAGATCATTACCAGGGGAGAAAGAGAAGCAGCAGGAGACATTCCTCTGCTGGGCACATGTGCAGTGAGAATCAAAATGGCAACCAAAAAGGCCTGTCTCTCTAGTCTGAGAACAGGATTGGACTGGATAAGGGACACAGAATCCAGAAAGAGCTGGAAAATGGATTGGTTAGAGGGTGGGCCCAGTGCAAGCCCACAAAAGTTTGAGAAGTTGATTGGTTCATTTGAAGAAGCACCTGGTGTGTTCCAAGCCAAA